AGCTTTGGTCTTCGCGGGATTGAGCTTGATTTTCCAGTCCGCCATGCATCTCTCTATTTCAGACATATGTCTGTTTAATCTAATATGAATAATGCGTTCGCATTTACGCGTGGAGAGGATGGCGGTATCGTCCGCGAAGAGGTAAAGCTGAGTATGTCTAGTCCTCGGTATGTCACTCTTAAAAATATTGAAAAGTATTGGAGAATTCGGGGAGCCGGGAGGGACTCCCGCCCTTATGATATGAAAAGCTGAGCGATGCGGGCCGGCCTCTACCAAAAACTTCCTATTTTGGAGGTAGCTATTAATTGTTTTAGTGAGGTACCTGGGGAAGGCAAGCCTTATCATTTTGATGATGAGGGCCCTGTGCCATACCTTGTCGAACGCTTTGGAGATGTCCAAATATATGGCTCCTGTGTGGTGCCTCCTGTTAAATCCCTTCAGGATTTGAGAAGCTATGCGTTTATTGTTCCCAACCCGGAAACAAACCCCAGTTAATCGGGGGGAAGGAGGTGGTGAATTTCGAGACGTGTTCCTTTAAATGTCCCAAAATGACCTTTTCGACCACCTTTCCAATGTTTGAAAGGAGACTAATGGGTCTGTAGGAAGGGATGAGTTTTGGGTTTTCACCTCTCTTCCCAATCAGAATTACCTTAGCCTCCCTCCAAGCAAGGGGAAAATGTGGCATTAGCTATGTTACAAAAGATGGTTTTGATGTTTTCTGGGACGTTTTTCAAGGCTTTGTTGGGAACAGCATCCAGACCAGGCGCTTTTTTGACGTTCAAATCCGAAAGGATACTTTGCACCTCCGCGACGGTGATAAGGTGATGGTCAGAGATGTAAGGCATGCCTTCATAAATGTTATACGTTGCGTTGACTGAATTTTCCTTGGCAGGACTCTGCACTGGGTTTTCACTAAATTGGATTGACAGATTGGAGGCCAACAATTCGGCTTTCTCGCTAGGAAGGCACACAACCCTATCGTCCACTTCCAGATTTGGAAGGGGGCGATAAGCGCCTCTAATTATGCGTCTTGCCGTTTTGTACGCAGAGTTATCATCAGTTGAAATTTCGGCTGTGTGCCTAGTAAAGTTTTCGTTGTAATGCTCTTTGAGCAGCGAGCGGATGTTGTTAGAAAGCCGATTTGCTTGCCTCCTCAAAGCCGGGTCGCCACTCTGATACGCCCTTTTCCCAAGACGATTTTTTAAGCGGATGGTATCTATGATGTGGGGAGGCAGGATTCCATATTTTGTGATTCTGGACATTTTCATCACCGTGGACATAGCGAGAGCCAGGTGGATCTCGATAGTCAGTGAGCCCACCGCTTCGTTCAGCTGTTGGGCGTTTTCGATATTGTTGAAAAGGTTTGCCTCGACGTCCCCCAGCAATCCTCGGTATCGAGCCCAATCTACGTGGTTAATCTCAATGCGCCCTCGTGAGGCAAGATTTGGGTCACCATACTCGATGATTACTGGGAGATGGTCAGAGGTCAACTCATGAATGGCGGTGGGTTCCGTGATCTGGTCGGTGTTTTTCGCGGCGAAAATGTCCAGAATTTCGGGGAGGCCCCGCGGAGAGAAATGTGTGGCTTCGTGAGGCGAAAATACCGTGAAGTTGAAGACGTCCGCCAGGTTATTCAGGCGGACGCCGCATGTGTTGGAAGTCCTGCATCCCCAATCCCTAGATTTCGCATTCAGATCGCCTCCTATAAGAATGCGATCATCAACATCAAACATTGCAGAAATAGACTGAGGAGTCAGGCGATTTCGCGGGCTCTTGTACACTGAACCTAGTATCAAATCGTGCTGTCTCAACTCAATGGTTACGAAAGTCCCCTTTATAATGTTAGAGGGGTCAGGATTGGGCAGTTGGTATGCCTGAATTCGTTTTGATACTAGGACCAGTGTACCTGCCCCCACTGTTTCCCTATCATTGCGGAAAACGTTAAAGTTGGGGAACGTGAAGCGGCTTTGAGGTTTTAACCAGGATTCCTGGACTAGCAGAACATCAACTTTAAAGTTTTCCGCAAATCTAAGGAGCTCAATCTTCTTGTGCAATATTGAATTGATGTTGATGGTCGCAATCTTTAAATGACAGGGCTTCAGTGACCTATCAAGTTCTTTGATGGCTCAACTGTCATTTGCGGGAGAAGCTTGACAAACTGCTGCTGCATGTTGAGCATAAATTGTTGCATGTTGTCTTGCATAGACTTCAACATGGCAGCGAGTGGGTCCAGATTCCCTCCCTTTAGCGCCTGGTTGTTCTGGCTGCCCCACTGGAAGGTGCTGACCGAAGGAATTGATTAAGCTCTGGCCTGTGTGATTTTTGCCTTTATAGCTGTCGGATGTTTTGCGCAACCTGAGAAGGAAGCAGGGTGCTCCCCTCCGCAGTTTGCGCAAGTTGGTTTCTTAGTCCGTTTTTTCGGGCATTCCCCCGTCAAGTGACAGTCTGCGCACTTGACGCATTTGGGTGGGGCAGTGCATTTAAGTGAGGAATGTCCAAAGAGTTGGCATCTGTGGGACTGGGTGAAACTGGCCCTCGTTTTTTGTGATTCGACTTTAATAGCTATGAGTTCTACGTATTTAATATTGAAGATATTTTTTTGTGTTTTTGGCAAAACAACGAGGACCACCTGCTGCCCTTCACCGTGGTGAAAGCCTCCCCTTCCGCAGCGGAAGCAGAGTCGAGCTCCATCTCCGACTCGGCGGCGGACGTCGCCGGTTCGGTTGGGTGCTCGCACTCGAGTAAATTATGTTAGACTCCTATCAATTTATGGGGAACAAAACACAATGGAGCATGAGAAACAGAAGAGACACAGAAAAAAATAACAGGTTCAGGGTGTTCAGGTGTGGCATTGAACGTTTTTTTTTTTTTTTGTCATTGGCTATAAATGGATGGAGAGGAAAAATAAAAACTATCCTGTTTATACACTCAATATATTATGTATACGCACTAACATAAGGAAACAGGCCGCTAGAGCTACAATTCCTTCAAAAGTTATGTAGAACGGCGGTGTAGTCTTTTTTTGCTTACTTCTTTGCAAACTAAACTAGGAATAAAAAAAAAATAAAGATCTGACCTTTTTTCCTTGTTATAACAAGCTGTAGATGTTGTATCCTGTTTCTAGTATTTTTCTCCACTGAACATTGTTTCCTGGAGATGATGGAATCTTTTGATTTAAATCTGGAATCCGGCTCGAAAGGACCATGTAGAAGGGTGCTGTAGTTTTCTTATCGCTTACTACACCAATCTTGCTTCGATAACCAAAAAGGGAGCTTGGACCAGCATTAATGCACAGCAGACTTTCTTTGTAAGCTAACTGGGTATATTAATTCAAAACCAGTTCAACATAGGACACGAATGACACGATAGGACATAAAGACAAAAAACTTTCTATTCTTTTGTTACTTGTAACTAACTCTGATAGTAACACATGCAACAACAAAACAAAACAATTCGACCCTTGACAACCAAACCGGGTTGTTCTTTTTTGGTTGAACGCAAAAACTCACTTGACTTATCAGGGCAATGTTGCCGCTTCTTATTCTAAATTTTTGTCTAAAGCTAGACAGTTAGGTTAAAACAACTACCTAATATTCTCAATTTCTAACAGGTTAATAATTTTATTTGTCACTCATTTGTAAAACGTCACTTATCAAGTCAAAACATAACCAGCGAAAATTGATTTTTACAAGCTACTGGCTCTACTGACTTGTAAAATTGACAGCTAAACTGTAAAAACTTTTTACAAGTCAGTAGAATTATTTATTTTTGAAAAATCGGTTTTATCACAAGAATAATTGCTTGTAGGTATCTTCTGGGAGACTTTTCTGGTGATAAACTGTTGGCTACGACTGAGGCTTCATTAATAATATCTTGTAATAAATTCATTTCTGGAAAAAAATTGCAAAATGGAAATCTGTCAAAAAACCTATTTATAACTAGAAACAACGTCTTAACAACGTATCATTCTCATAGTTATACCAACTACCAAAACTTCTGTGAGAAAAAATCAAGGAAAAACATATAAATTTCAAATTTTTGTTATGTATTGATTTTTTATTTGTCCCTATATCTTTTACAAATGAGTAACAAATAAATTATTGTACATTATACGCCAGGTAGCAGTTTTTACTGGCTCTTGAAGGTGACAAGCTCGCCTGGCGGCTCGCTAGTCATTTCCTTCAATCGCCAGTAAAAACTGTTTTACCTGGCTAATAATGTAAAATACTATATTCATTGAATTCAATTTCTAGGAAATGTATCACATACTAATAAAGGCCACTCAAAAAAAAAATGCGGTTCAATAAAGAGGTCATTTGACAGTATCGAATAAACCAACTCCTTTCCGGTGGTTTTTCCAAAATTTTATTCGTTTAATAGATTTTTAGACTGAAGGACCTACTTTTTCAATGAGCCGAAAGATGCCATGTTACCTGAGCCCTAATATATTTGATTCTCTTCTTGGAAATTTGGCGAAATAGATGAAAATTCATCCTATATTGAAAAGGGAGTCACTCAATTTGGGCTCACAGATTATTTTGGGGCTGAAGGAACACATTTAATTCCTAAAAAAAAACACATACAATGACATTTTTGAGCTTTAACTGGTTTAACAAGTTATTTTATTTAATCGTTAATATCATTATTAGATTGCTGTGTTAAATGTCGAAACGGAACTTTGAATATTTTATTATTTGCTGTGTGTTTTGAAATATGGTTCTGAAATTATTCATTTCTAATGTTGTCTTTTCACGAGGGTGCATGTTTTATTTCCATCCTCAGCTCCGCGGCTTCCACGTAATATCCTGTTAATAATTGAGTCAGAGTATATCTGTTTACTCTAAATATATTGTTTAGGCCCTAACATCTCCTGGACATATAGATAATATTCGTCTACCGGAATAAATTGGAAAACGAAAAAACTAAAATTAAAAGTTATAAACATAAATACATAAAATGCACGTCGAAACTCAAAATAAATACCTACTTTATGTTTTCAGCTTTCCAGTGAATATCAACTGCAAAATTCTGGCTTCGTCTCAAAATCGGCGTGAGCTTAATGGAACTTTATTACTCAGAGATAAAGTATTCAAAATAAATGGGAACGCCAACCTTATACGAAGTTTACCAGTAAAAGTTTTAATCACTTTTACCCCGCAAGATAATAGCACTCCTTTGACTTTTCAATACAATCTTGAAACAACTTTGAAAGGCTATGGATTAGTTGGTGCTTTAAGTTATGCCAACAGATTGACCCGTTTTAGCGGCAATGCCACAGTAGACGATACATTTAACTGGGAAGTTAACTTAAAGGTAATTTGAATAATTAATATAATTGTTACGTACTTACCTATCGACTTTCAAAGTATGCCAATTTTATTTTAAAATAATAAAGAGAAAAAAGCTTCCACTTTAATCAACTGAAAAGAAGTGAATCGATATTAAATGATTAGGTGCTTATTGCTTTGGATTAAGATGCTTTTGACAAGGTTCAAGCATAAAATATCTACACGCCTGCATGTTTTTTTTTTTTCCTGTTAATACCAAGTTGATCAACGAAATTTCGAAGTTATTGGACAAGTCGAAGAGGTCCATCATCTTAAACATGTTGTTAGGTGCTTGTAGGATTTCTTTGTTCGAGTCTGAAAATGTGTTGCTCTAAACAATTCGATCAAGTCTGTTGGCCGCATGTTTGCGATAATTATAAATTCTCACTTTTCAAATACCTACCTAATTTAGAATTAATTGTTTCAACTATGCGCTTTCGTATTATTAGCATCATATTTCAGGTTGATCCGCCAGATTCCATGCTAAAAGTAGCAGCTCGAGTAATAGCAAAATCCATAAGGAACGGTGCGTCATTAGATACTGAAATAACCACAAACATGCCCAATAATGAACTATCCAAGTTTGGCATAAACTACAGGTGAGTTCCATGGCCATTAAATTCATAATTTAGCGATATATGGTACACGATTTATTGAACCAATATTTAAATGAAAAGTTAAATTTTTAAATATTTGATGGTGATATTACAAAATTTAGTTCAATATGAAAGTAGGGCTAATTTCTTATTTTGAAGTAATAATTATAACAAATTGCTTATTTGCAAATTTTATTTATCAATGGTATTTATACATAATCATAATTAATCTGCAGGTAGGTGGGCACCAAAAATAGTTGATTAGTAGCCATGGTCGAGAAAAATCGATTCCCATTAATAATTCCATTTGTTTCACTCCCTAACCGGCATTTCCATAACTGCCGTTGTGTCTATGCAAATTTTTTAATTATTATTTCTCCATTTGATCAAAATTGAAGATAAATATTCTTATGAATTTTAACTACTCATTTCATGTGGATTTAAATTGATTTTCCTTTACTTTGACATTGTTTGAGACCCGAGTGGAAATGAAATCGGATTTTGTATTTGCATTCCGTTGATCTTCAGTCCTTTTTTTTTCGTGAAAAAAGGTTTTATTTGTTCTAGGTACAGAGTGAGTTTTTTAAAGTGCTACAATGCGATATCTCGGAAACGGTTTCAAATATTTTTATGATATTTTGCTGACGTATTAACTATAAGCGGGGGACATATTTCACGATATTTTTGATATTTTTTTCTCAACCTCCTCTTGAGGGGTGGAGGATACCTTACAAATTTCAAATAAAATACTATGTAATTTCAAAATACGGACTACGTAAAAAAATAGGTCTGTGTGTAAAAAACATGTGCTTGCTCTACTGGTTATAGATGAATGACTAATTAAGTATTTTAATAAATTAGAAAACTTTCTTACAACCTAATTTTTAATTATTCATTTATCGTCTAATATGCCTAAGGATATGTTCAAAATGTCCTCCTTCGACTCACATACACTTTCTTACTCTTTCTTCAAATGAATTTCGTAGCCGCTCTAACATTTTTTAGAATGGATTCGATCTCTCATGTTATCTGGAACTGTAGGTGCAGTAGCCATTACTTTGTCTTCTATAAAGCCCCACAAAAAAGTCAATGGGAGTCAAATATGGAGAACGAGCAGGCCAATTGACACTTCGAACAATCCACCTATTTTCAAATATTTGATCTAAATCATCATCATAGGCGATCACTCGATACCGAGTATGATAATCTCGTTTTCTGATTCCTCCATAAACCAATTCTATAGCCGCACACTCTGCCACAGTCTTGGCATACCCAGCCTCTGACAGCATTGTCCCTTCCTCTGTTCTCTTGCTCCTTTCTGCGGTCCCTCGTTTCGTTCTCGTGTCTGCGCCGCTGTTCTTCAAACGTTTGTGGTCCATTGTGAACTACTTGACGCCATGAGGGCCTATCATTTGGCGCCATCTCCCAATTATTGGTATCGATGCGGCACTTTGCCATATTTTTCTCAAGAACATCTTTGTAGCGTTTTTGATGACCTCCTTGATTTCGATTTTCCTCTTCTAGTTGACTGTAGAGAATCTGTCGTGGAAGACGTGTTTCGGGCATGCGGAGTTGGTGCTTAATGATGAGGGCTTCAATGTTAGTTGTTTTGGCCTCCTCTAAAACACTAATGTTCGTTCGTCGGTCTTGCCATTTAATCCGTAGGACCCTTCTTAGGCATCGCTGGTGGTATTTTTCTAGGCTTTTTATGTGTCTTCTGTAGGTGGTCCATGTTTAGCAGCCATATGTTAGTGTTGGTATTACGCGTTGATGTCATGATTGTTGAAGAGTCTCTCTAAAACTACCCGAGCGCTGCGCAAGCACACTTCAAGCGATGTTAGATGTCAGCGTCAATGGTTGCATTTGCTGCCAAATGGCTCCCAAGGTATGGGTAGTGTCGGAACCTGACAACTATTATTTTTATTGTAAGCTTTTAAGTTATAAAGTTAATATTTCGCGTTAAGGAGCGCACATTTATTAAGTTAATTGGGCACCAGCCTCAACAGGTATTTGGCGACGCAGACACGCACATGCGCAAATGACCTGCACAAAAAGAGCGAAGTGTCAAAGTTTTCAGTATCAATCCGCACAAGTGCTTACAACCCGCCAGGTAAAAAATATTGGTCGTGTCTTAACGATATAAAGTTAATTATCAAACCATCCATTTGATCTTCAACAGTGTCTTTGGGTGAACCGAGAATCACATCAAGAACAGAGAGCGCTCTCTTGTGATCCGTCAAGGACGAAATCCAAATGAGTGTCCCTAATAAATATTGAAAATCATGCTTTCATTCAAATAGGTCATAACATTATATTATTATCATATGGTCCTTCGAACATAAGCCGTAAATTCAAAGTCTGTAGACGACATTTTGATCCTAACGAGCCCGATTGAACAAGCATTTCATAAAAAAAATTATTTCATTTTATTTTAACTAAAAATTTATTAAATATTTCACCCATATTCAAAAATTATAACTACTATATTCTGATCCCACCTGCGCGCACAGCACAGTCATGTCGATCCCATAGTACAAGTGCCAGTGAAAAAAATTCCGGCTGATTTCATTATGGCTGTAAAATTTAGGAAATGTAGAATCAATCATGAACAATACGAAATCGCGTGCCTGCCTGCTCGTATCGGTTGCGTTTATTAATAAAAAAATGTTTAACGAGGTTTTGTAAAATCAAACACCGACTCATCTAGTGTTTCACAAGACAAGATTTCTTGTCTTGCTGGGCCTATTCTTTTCTTGTCTTGCAAAGCAAGACAAGAAATGAAATTCATTCTTGTCTTGCCTGACTCTTGCAGAAAAAAATCTTGTCTTGCAAACAAGATTTCTTGCAATTTCTTGTTCTTGCATTAATTGTTTTGTGACGTCATAACAAGAGTATTGCTTGCAAGAGTCTTGTTGCAAGATTCTTGCTGCAAGACTCTTGCATCATTCATTGCGTTCAAAAGCGTGTCGGGGGCGTGTGTGGTAGCAAAACACGACGGTTTTCTACCACACACGTCAGTTTTGGAGCGACGTGTTTCATCATAGTCGGTGGGGCTCTTAAGATTATGATTGGTGTCATTGTCATTGTCATTGATAACGTGGTTGCCATCTTTCCTGGTTTAAAGGCTTTTTTTTGAGGAAACAGTTTCAAAAAGCCTTTTTTCTACTACCGTGCGTAAAGTACTCACTATACGCACTATTCAGAAGACGTAAAATTTCACTTCACGCACTAGTGCGTAAAGTAATTCACTTCACAAACTATTGCGTAAAGTAATGTCAGTGACAGATGTCGACACTGTCATTTTGGTATTTTTCTGGTAAATTACTTCACGCACTAGTGCGTAAAGTGAAAATTCTTGACGCACTAGTGCGTAAAGTTTTTGTCTAATAGTAGTTTTCCTAATCAGTGCGCAAAGTTATGTTTTCCCGCACGCGAAAGCAGTTAGACGAACGACGCGAAGCGGAGTTCGGATAAGCTTTAAGTGCGGGAAAACTACTTTGCGCACGTGTTAGGAACAATCTTTTTTCTACGAGTGAAATAACTATACTTCCTTTCTAAATTTTTAATTTCTATAGGCATCAAAAACAATTTGTTGTAACTAACTAGGTATATCTAAATCGGCCGAAAAAAAATTCGGCCTCTCTCCGCGGGGCTTTGCCCCCTAAAAAAGGGGGCCCGCAAGGCTGTGCCCCCCAAAAAAGGGGCTTCCGCGGAGCTCCGCCCCACAAATATGGAGCCCTCGTAAACAAATATAGGGCTCCGCCCCCCAAATATAGGGCTCTCGCAGGGCTTCGCCCCCTAAACGGGGGCCCCGCGGGGATGTGCCCCTCAAAAAAGTGGCTCCCGCGGGACTCCGCCCCCCAAATATGGGGCTCTGGCAGAGCTTCGCCCCCCAATAGGGGGTCCCCAGATTTTATTATGGGTACCAGAAAAAAAAGTGTGCGGAAAATTTTTTTCCCGCATAGTGTGCGCAAAGTAGTTACTTTGCGCACACTTTTGGGAAAGGGCTTCTTTGCGTACACAAAAGTGTGCGCAAAGTAGTTACTTTGCGCACACTCGTAGAAAAATTTATTTTTTTACACATATTTGATTAGTAGTAGAAAAAATTTTGCATGCAATACGTGCGTAAAGCACCTTTTTTCATTCATGTGATTGTCGCACTCGCCTTCGGCTCGTGCGTCAAAATTCACATTCGTGAAAAAAGGTTCACTTTACACACTTGATGCATAAATAACTATTGTCTCTGCACTGAGTGCGGAAAAGAAGAATACCTGAAATTCTTAGGTCCACAGGTACTTACCTTACAGGTATACCTACAGGTACATTACAGGTACAGGTACGAGGAAGTTAAAAAAATATCTTAAATTGATAATTATGCAGGTAAAAATAATAACTTTCATCTCGTAGAAAAAATAGTGTTCCTAACTTTTGCGGAAAGTCTCTTTTTCGCACTTGATTGCTTGCCGAACTCCTCTGCGCGTCGTTCGGCAAACTGCAATCGCATGCGGAAAAGTGGTACTTTCCGCACTAGTTAGGAAATATACTATTAAAACAGTTTCAGCTCTAACGTCACTATTTTATGCACTACAATGATAACAGACCTTGAGAAAAATTTCGACTTGATTCTTTGATGGTTGAAAATGAAAAGGCCTTCACATTGAACTTGAATTCAATTTTGTGTGTGCAGTATCGTTGTCCATCATGACCAAAAATTTTCCTAGCCATACTTGTTGCAAGAACTATTAGAAACTGACATCTGTTTGAGTGTTTTGAAACTAGAATTTTAAAACGTTTTGTCGCAGAAAAATGCTTTAAACTTTACAAACTGACATGCTGACATTTTTATCTCGCCAAAATTACTTCAAAAATATGCAGAGAAGGAGACTCCATTTTTTTGCAAGATTTCTTGCAAGATTGCAAGAGTCTTGCAGAATAATTTCTTGTCTTGCTTGGCAACTTCTTGTCTTGTCTTGCTTTGCAAGACAAGAAATTTAAGAGAGTCT